TGCAGGTATTTTGTAAGACTCATGCACCACATCTCTTTTACATCCTCATCAGTACAATAGAAGGTGCAGATGGACATGCTACTAGTGAGAGGCATTCACATTTACAGCAGCAAAGAATAGTTGCACTACTTTTTACTTCAAATTACAAAGTACCTGCCCAAAGTATTGCCATTCAAAGAATAAAAAATTATTATATTTTATATAATTTACAAAATTTCCAAGTCAGCTTTATTCTGACAGTGTCAGCAGTCACTGGTACTAAACAACCTTTGTTCTTGAGTGTGATAACAGGAATAATATGCAATTTCCCTTAGATCCCAGAAAACATCACATCTCCAAAAATAAGCTAACCAGGCCTGCACAGACTGCAGGGAGGGTCTTGGGCTTTAGCAGTGGAATGTGTATGAATGAGATATTTTATACAGCAAATGGCAAAGCAACTACCGCATTAACTCGTGTATAAGTCGATTTTTTAGGACCAAAAACTCAACCCAAAAAATCACCCTCAACTTTTACACGAGTCGTGCTCAAAGACCTGACCCAAGCAAGCCAAGAAAATTAGCATAATAGTTGCCTGAAGTCTGTTTGGAAAACCGCGTTTATAAAACCAGTTCGAATTGTGTTCGAGTTTCGTCACTTTTTAGCGCATTCTTCGTCCACAAAAAGTTTGAAATAATAAATTTTGAGTGGCTTGACACAAAGCTACTGGAGCTGATTTATATTGTGTCTTCGGGACTATAACAGACATTTTTTCTTAAAGCTTCGCCTTTGTTTACAGTGCCGAACTTTCGATTTCATCGAACGATTACAGTAGCTTAGTAACCTGGCAAATGCCGTTGTCTTGCGCAGTCTTGCTCGGCAAGCGCGATCCTTCGAAGTTATTCGGTGTTCCTTCGGTTTACTTAATCTCCTTTCAAACTCAACATTAAGATACAGGTTTGTTAATGGAAGAAGATTTCATTTTCAATGTAATTTACAAAATATGGTAAAATACTTCTCCAATAAATCGAAGTGCTCGTGTGTGCTTAAATCGTGGTGATATAAACAGGTGCTGATAAACCTCAAAGCACTTGGTTACATTGTGCTCTGCAGCTCTTTGATTCCTCGTGTTTTCAATACGTTCCCAGAAATAAGAGATTAACTTCTGAGAAATTTCTATCTGTCTGAATTTTACTTCTTTGACTATATATGATGAAAAACCCGATTTTTTAACTTAAAAATGGGAGGTCGACTTATACACGAGTAAATACGGTACGAGGAAGTTGTGGACAAATCTGTGCTGACAGCCTGCAGGATAAAACAGAACAAATACAATGAACAATAAACATAAACACTTTTGTAAAAAAATAAACAATCAATGAAATTGTAATTAATTTTTTTCTCAGACCAAAAACTTGTTATCCATCTCATTGATCATTTCATGTTATGAATGTGCCTACTACACCAATTGCTAAAGCCAGTGCAGCAGTCCATGTGGCACCAAGTCTCCCAGCCATAGTAGTTGCCCAACCAGTTGATGGAGCAATAATCCTTTTTTAACAAGAGTAAATGAGTTGGGTGATTCCTTCAACAAAGGTGTTATAGAGCATGATAAAAGTAGCAACATTGTAGACAACCACAATAATCATGAACAGCCTGGAAGCCAGCCTACAAAACATGCTTTTAGGCATTCAAAGTTTTACAAGTCCCATGACAGGGGAAATATGATAACTAGAAATCTGGAACACCTACTTACACCACAACCTAGTGTTCCAGACAGGACAGCTCAAGAAAGAGGACATAGCACAGAAAGACCTGCTTCTGTTGCAAATTCACACCAAAACCACTTTTCAACCATGGGTAACCTAGCCACCAAAATCTAAAGGTTCTCACCAAACCTGCCCTAACCTTATTCAATCACACAATCAGTCTTGACAACAAAAACCATCAGTAGCTCAACAGTTTTCACACTTGAGTGTACCACCACAATCCACTTAAATAACTGTTCTATCTTCAACAACACCATCAGTCACATTCTGGGAACTGCCAGTCTTCCTACCTTAGTCAACAATAGGGGGGTTGTCAAGGCAGCAACACTTGTACAGTTATTTCTTTGTTGTTAGCAAAGACATACTTAACAAACAAATCCTTACTTCAACAGAATAACTACCAATCACTGAATCCAAGCTGGATTCTTGTCTTCACGTCATGTAAGATAGGGGGAAATCAGGCATATGACAGTTTCGTGCAGTCACAATCATATCTTGGCATTGTCAAAGCCATACCTCTTGTCAGAAGCAGCCTGGGTAGTTTGAGCTATAAAGAGTCAATTACTGTTTTTTCAAGGAGCCTGATTCAAGTGAAGACTCTGCTCTGAGTTTTCACCTCAGTAGAAGACTTACCGACACAAATGCTGCTTTTACTATAATTAATGGTTTAACTGTTGCATTTGTAGGTGATATCGATGCAAATGACAACATCATCTTAATGGATAGCCATCTCCACTTACCGAAAGGCGCTTTACTTGCACAGTCTCAACGCAGTGACATTGAAGAACTATTAAACTGACTGAAGTTAAAGCTATCTGCGACAGTGATTTTGTGTACGGTTACGTACCTTCATCAACTTCAGCTAACACGGCGGTTGATTGTAAAGTGATATCGACATATTTCCAGCCGCAGAGAAGGTTAAGATATGTGTCAAGTATGTCGGGGTATTCTGAAGTTGCTCCAATGTTATTCCATTTATTACGTTTAAGTAGTGTTGGTGAAGCAATCGGGCGGTACTGCTTACACTGTTACATTAAGCTTATGTCGATCAAAAGAACGTTCACATCAGCATAAGGACCGAGCGACAAGTTTGTAATTACTAGCTACAGATTCAAAACTAATTTCGATGGTAAAACAGCTTTTACTACCAAAAGAGGTTACATCGAAAAGCTTTTCAAGTTTAAAGCTTAAACTGAACAAATACCGATGATGAAATGCGTTTTGTAAATAAAATCGGTGAATGGAACGGGAACACGCAACGAGCTGTCTGGATAAATTGAAATCAGCTTTAGTTGAACTATAATTAAAATGATTCTCTTGACCCTTCAGTCTTTTCCATAAGAACAAACTCCATTAAATTTTCCGGTCGGATCATATCAATATCAGTCCAAAAAAGGTGTAAAACATGTTCTGTGCGTTTTCCGACGAAAGTCATCAAGAAATGCGTTTTGTAAATAAAATCGGTGAATGGAACGGGAACACGCAACGAGCTGTCTGGATAAATTTAAATCGGCTTTAGTTGAACTATAACTAAAATAATTCTCTTGACCCTTCAGTCTTTTCCATAAGAACAAACTCCATTAAATTTTCCGGTCGAATCACATCAATATCAGTCCAAAAAAGGTGTAAAATATGTTCTGTGCGTTTTCCGACGAAAGTCATCAAGCTGGACAAAAGCGACAGGCGCCAAATATGCAAAGCATGCGCGCTCATTTCATGCGGAAAGTTACTCTTTGACGGAGCTGACATCCTAACAAGGGAGCGTTTGCCTCAATCATGTATTAAGTTCAATATTTCTTCGGCTCGTAATCATCTCTTCGAGTGATAGGTTCACCGGCAAAGTTGTGGGCATTCCTCTTAGAGGTTTTTAGTGGAAAGCAGTGACAACAATCAGCAACGATTTACGCGTGTTTCCGTGATCAAAGGTATTCGATTGAGGAATTACTATTTTTTCTACGTTTCAGGATCTGTTCGATGCCACTTTCAGATATAAAGGTCCCCTTGATATCTCCTAATGTGTAACTTGTACTTAACGCTATTCATCGTGAGAAAACATGCAAATTTGAATCTCAGATTCCAGCGTTAGTGACGCGTCACAAATGTGCTGAATTTGCAACGTTTGGAAACCCAGCACATGAAACGAAAATATATGTGTTTTTATTTCTTAGAAAGTATAAATAGTCAGTTACTGTAGAGCTGTCTCCTGAGTTCCATCCATGGTAAGATAACACTTTGTACTTTATTAGCAAATGGTTATCAAATGGATGTGTTAAAATGTCATCTAAAGGATGTATCTCGTGAACGGCAAACGCCATTAGATCAGGATCTTATCTCTACTTGCTACAAGATTTTTCCTTGGAAACAAAACTTCTCGATTCGAAAACGGGCCGTTTTCCAATTGCCAAATTTTGCAAATAGGTTACTTAAACAATGATCTCAAATATGTGAGAAAATAAAGGCCTTGCGAGAAGGTCAAGTTAGCCCCCAGTACTGCCTCAAGTGGTCTCAACAACACTCTAAGAGGAAATAGAAAGCTTCAATGGACTGTTAACTCATATTTTGTTTTGTATCTTTCCAGCATAATTTTTCAAATTTAAAAGCTTCCTGAGATGTCAAGACTTCTGAAGGTAGTAAGAGGATTCTAAATCTATTACAAAAATACCAACCTTTGATTTTGACAAAAACATTCATTCTCCTTGTTTTTTTAACCTAAATGTCTTCAGTGAGACTACATGTACCAATTTCAAAGAGAGTTGAAAAGGAAGGCCCTTTAAGGATAATTTTAACTTTCCATGTAACTGTAAAGGTTGTTATCAGTGACAGTGACAGTGACACTGACAGTGTAGATCTCTAAAGCAACTTAATATTTTCCTGGTTTAAATTTGTCTCAATCTACATGTATCTGATTTTTTGGCATAGGATAAAAATCAAACACAAGTTTACAAAAGAATTGACATTACATATTGAGTGGATATCCATTATTGTGAATTATTATTGTTTTACAGTTTATTGTCAATACTATTCTTGTTTTGTGGTTGTAGGGTTCCACCATTCCTAGTGTAGCCTCTACATCACAGGAATACCAGGAAAACAGGAAACTTAAAGTCACTTTGCTAAGCAAGGAGTGGAGATCATCAACTGATGGGGACTTTTCAACTTTCAACCGAGAGCTGGCCATCCAGTTAGCTAAACACACTAATGTGGATGTTAGTATCTTTCTTCCAATTTGCAGTAAAGAGGACAGGATCAGTGCTAAAAATCACAATGTGACGCTCATTGAAGTACATGATATTCCTGGTCAAGTGCCATTTCATCAGCTGTCACATTTTCTAAGAAACCATGCAATTGACTGTGTCATTGGTCATGGAATTGACATTGACCAATCAATTCAATTCAATGAGGCATATCCAAATTACAGACATTGCAAATGGATTCAAGTGTTTTCCTCTGATTCTCAAGTAGTAAGACTATTAGAACACTTAGAACACACTGCTCATAAACACATTTTTTACAAACATTGTAAAATGATTATCACAGTTGGACCCAAGAAGGGAGAAGCTTACAGGCATTACTTGCCTTACTTGCTTTACTTGCATCGAGTTTATGAAACGGAAAATGTTTTTGACCTTACTCCAAGCATTTTCTCTGAATTTTTGGAAGTAAAGCAAGCTGCTGAAGAAGGAAAAACATTCATTATTCTTGTTATTGGAAGTATTAACTGCAGCTGGATATATTTTGATATCCCAGAGTACAGAATAGCTGCTAAAGCAATTGCTGAGTTGAAAGATGAATCCTACAAACTCACGTTTGTTCACCCAGATGGAGGTAAAGGAGATAATGGAACACAAAATTTGCTCCTCTATGGCATTAGTCATAATCAGCTTATTGTTTGCAGCTCTGATGATAGCAGAAAGGTGCTGGCTAACTTATTCTGTACAGTGGATCTTGCAATAATGCCATCCAAGGTAAAATGTTTTGGAATAACAGCTCTTGCAGCATTATCTGCTGGTCTGCCTGTACTTGTCAATGGTAATTCAGGACTCGGAGAAGCTCTGAAGGAAGTGCCTTTAGGCTCACACAGTGTAGTAGACTCTGAAGATCCTAAAGACTGGGCTAAAGAAATCAAGCGTGTCCGTCAGAAAAAGAGAAAAGTGCGACTTGCAGAGTCAGGATTTCTACGTGAAAAGTACTTGGAGAGGTATAGCTGGGAGGAGCCTTGTAAGAGTCTTGAGATAAAGATGAGGAACCTTTTCTTTGGTAAATTTACTTAAATTTAAATGTTATAGCCTTAACTTGGCTAATAACTGATAATCCAGGTATACTGGTAAAAAGTTGAATGAGCCTTGAGTCAACTTGGACCTATGATTGCCATAATTTTTTATAGACCTGATTCAAACAAATAGTTTAAAATGCTAAATACTCTGGAAAGGTAAACTTGATTGTGATGTAATAATCTTACCCACAAGGTTAGGAAGAGTGTTGCAAAGTTTTGAATTATGTACTTGGTAAAGTGCATTTGCATAGGAAATACTTTCTGTAACTATTTCGCTCAAGACATAAAGCAGGTACTGTTGAAAGTTGAAGATCTTTGAAAATCCAGACAAGATCTTCAAGGATCTTGACAGGAAAATAATAGATCCTTAAAGATCTTGGCAAGAAAATCAAAGATCCTTGAAGATCTTGACAAGAACTTTGAAGATCCTTGAAGATCTTGGTAAGAAAATCAAAGATCCTTAAAGATCTTGGCAAGAAAATGAAGGATCCTTGAAGATCTTAACATGAATTTTGAAGATCTTCAAAGATTTTCCAAAGATCCTCATGAAGATCCTCAAGAGGATCCTCAAAGGTCCTCAAGAAGATCTTGCAGGATCCTTAAAGATCCTTGAAAGATTTTCACCAGGGTTACTATATGATAACCACAATAATTAATTATAAATCATTATTACTTAGTTGTTATTGGTATTTCTATTATAGTTATTGTTGTTATTCATATCATTTACATTATGATCATTGTTTTTGACTATGGGTGAACAAAGCCATAACCAGATATTAAGCAAATGGCTGCAACACTGTTACATTACATTAAACACTATTTTGATTGCATATTATCTAAGAAATTTTTAGATTGATTGACTTGCATCTGTAAATGGCACATGAGTATTTCTGACATAGAGCTAGGTTTGAAATATTATAAGCTCCTTGCCTGCTGGGAACATTGTCATCCTTCAACTCCAGTTATGTTATATCTGCATTTGATCATGATAGTTACAGGATTGCAAATGAGATACAGTTGCAGGAGAACTTTTTCAGTTACTTAGAAGGGTTTCACTGGTTGTTTCAGTCTTTTAATAAAGTTATGGCTCAGCAGATGGTTAATGTTATGAAAACATGATATCCTCAAGAGTCTTTTTTTCTTTATTGGAAACATCTGTCTAGTACCAAAACCTGGGAGAAAACATAAAACAAAACCTTACTAATTTTCTAAATTTGTTTATTGCAACCCACAGCTTATGACCACAGTGTAAGACTAATAATCAATCAGTGTTCATGATTATCACTATTTATAAAATATTCAAGATCTACTTACATGCACTCTCATTAGTCAATTAGTGTGTTTAGTTGAATATTTCAAATATCACGTAACTTTGAATATCACATTTTTACCCTAACCTTTTCATCTCTCTTACTCACATACTAGCTTCTCGTTCCACTGAAGTGAAGCAAGAGGAAGAAAGTGGCTCAGCTGCCCAAAAACATAAACTTGATCCTTTTGGAGAACCTGGAACTTCTGGGGTATCCAGCACTGGTAAGAGAAGGAAGTTTAAGGGTGACAAAAGGAAAATTGCATTTTAAGTTGGTTAATTATCCAGTAGCATGACATTTCAAGGATCGATCATGTAAAATTTCTTTGCAGACTTGAAGAACCTTCAATCTCTCTCCCAAAATAGTTTTTGTGATAAATTGTTACTGAATTACAATCAGTTATACCCCCCTACTAGCTGTCACAAGATAAATCAACTCTGATCAGTTTAATTCAACATACCTGATCATATGAGGAATGTATGTGTGGGCATGTATTTGTATACCTATAAAATTGTGACCAGTCCCCCCAATATGGCTCATCTCAGCACCAATACGAACAATCTGGCCCCAAACATGGTAATTAAACATGGGGTGTAAAAACCCCAACTGGCAGGAGGCAGGCTGCAGTTGGCTACATACAAAGCACTGCAAAGGAATTGAACTCAAGGAACCATTTAGCCCTTAAACTCCCAGAAGTGATTAACAAGTAACTTCTTCCTACATAGTATCTAAACATTATCTAGCAAACAGGTCATGAGTATATTCATGCTTATCAGGTTGAAGTTGTTATCTCAATCTGACACCATATTATAGTAACTTATTCACAAGGAATTCGAAATGTGTAGCAGCTAGAGGGGAGAGTTAACAATCAGATCTTGGGAGGTGGCAAGGTGGAGGGCTTGTTCACAGGATTACCAGACTACAAACCCAGTGTCCTTACCACTTGGCCACCGTGCCTCCTTAATATGTGATAGAAAATCTCTGGCATGACAGAAAAAAAAGCCCTTGCTCTTTCCCCTCCCCCTCCCCCTTGAAAAAAATTCACTTGTAATGGATGATTTTGAAATTGTTACTGAGTCACAGTTCTCAAAGCTGTTAATCATAAATTAATTAACTCTACTTGTTTTCTATTCAAGAGGAAATAGTAACTGGTGATGACTTACTTTTTTGGTTAAGTTTGGTTATTGAATTGTTAATTGTTAATTATTGAGTTATGCCATTTGCTATCAATTTAATACATTTTTAATTTCTTTTAATCTACCAAGATCTTTTTTTACCACAATTGGCAGTAATAGCATAATCTAATCAGCTAATTTGCAGTTGCACCTTGTGAATCCAAGACATTTTGACTACAGTGATGACAAATGTCATTTTCAATTAGAGAGCAGATCATGCTAAACCGCTGTCCATTTGTTAATTAGATAAACTTGCTGTACAATGTACAATTGAGAATAAGGAGCTGGGTTTGAAGTGTGATAAGCTCCATGCTTATCTGTATGCTTGTTTCATCAAAAACATTTAGTTTCCATGGAAGGAGTGATGTCCCAGTTGGGAGATGTTAAGATGGAACCAGATACTGTGCAACACTTAGAACTGAAGAAAGATCTATTACGGGATGTTGAAGAGATCAAAAGATCTGTCATTTTTAGGTAAGAATTACTATATCTAATTCATCAATTTATCAGTGGTAAGATGGCTCACGTTACAAGAGTTAACCAGTTCTTTTGGAGAATCGATATTAGTAATCAATGGATGATAAAAAGTGAGCTAATATCACAGAACGCCCAATGAACTTCGAACTAAAAAGATTGATTGATGAGGGTGGCAATGTTTTTACCATCTAATATTGAGAGATGATGACTTCTTTCTGATGGGACTTTAAGCATTTTTTAACTCTGTAGAGGACTGTGAGCTACCCTTCTCAAAAGAGCCTAAAAGAAGCCCTTACAGACTTAGAAATTTCTATCACTGGTTCATGTGGCTTTTGCACAGGTGTAAAGATAAATCCATGGTTAAAAAAGGAGTGGTGTAAGGAAGCTTAGTTCGTGCACAGACCTTGGTCAGAGTTTCTTTCCTTTTTTTTTTTTTTTTTAAGTAAAAACAAAAGAAAAGCGCCTTGCAAAATTAGCCCCAGGATAGAACATATAAGTTTGTTCAAAGGTAGCTTTGAGGACAAATGTCATCACTCCTTAACATTTTTTGGTTATATTTTAATGTTCCAAAGCATAACTGTTATTACCAACCTTATTTTCAGGGGTGAAGTTACAGAAAAAGGTAATGTATGGAAACTACCGGAAGCAGCCGCCTATGTCACATTTCATGAAGGGGCTGTGCCAAAACCTTTGTTATTTACTTGTTCAGTATGGCCTCCTAAACTTCGCAGTCCACCCATTTCTAGTGATGAGCTTTTGGTAAGCAATGTGATTGAAGTGTCACACGATGGTCCACCAGACCTAGAGTTAAGTGGAGATGACGAAGGAAACGTAACTGTGGCTTTGTTGCACAGTGCAAGTGATTTGAAGGGCTATGAAGTGGTTATCAAGCAATTGGTGGATCTACATGACAACGTATGGAAGGATTTGGAGACTTGGCATGCATCAGGTGCAGGTTATATGTCATTCATGATGATTGTTAGTGAGCCTTTGGATAGTGTTGCAAACCAAAGTACAAACTGTAATCATGACGGCCAATCAGAAGAAAGGAAATACTGAGAACTCAAAGTAAAAACCGAGCAAAATGCCTAAAGCGTGGGAAAACACGGGTGATCAGGCCTTGATTTGTTTTATTTTTGCTTGTGATTGATTGAAAGAGTGGCCTGAGTTTTCTGGACCAATCAAAGAGCAAAGGAAAGCAAAAACAAATCAATCACGGGTTACTTTCGGCACTCAATTGAAATTTGCTCCTTATGATTATCGATTGTGAGGTCTGAAAACCTGGGTCAGGGTATATAGTCCAGAAAAGAACTGATTACGTTGAAAGTTTGTAGCATTTCGTTGACCTTGAGCAGAAGTCAGTCCAGTGTGGAGTTGTTTGTTACTTTTATGTCTGATCGAGATTTCTGGGTTCAGTGAAGGTTGACTCATCTACTAGTTTGTTGGTATCCTTCGTCCTTTTTTGAATTGTTTTGTTTTGCTTTCTGAGACTTACAGCCAATGACACCGCGGCAAAACTGACCGATCAGTTTTCGCAAATCAGACTCATATGTTCTACTGACAAACAACGTTTCGCGTGAAATTGATGATGGCTTCCTCAAAGGTTGCTGAAACATCAGTCATTTACCACCTACAACAGTCCTTTAGCCAGAAAATTAGACTTCACAATCATTTTTTCCTCCTTAGTCTATCCTTTTTCAGCATCATAGAAGGGCTTATACTATTTTGCGAAACGAAACGAAACGAAACGAAACGAAACGAAACGAAACGAAACGAAACGAAACGAAATCGGGTCAGATGAAATAAAACAAAAGGAATAATGCAGATATATTTTCAAATAAGGTAAAGATAACTTTCACAAGGATTTTGGAGTAATCGTTCATTAATAAGAAGGATTTTTATTCATTTCGCAAAATAGTAATTTTAGGAGAGTTACTATTTTGCGAAATGGACTATTTTCACTCTGCGGTGACAACGTGACCTCTTTCATGTCGCGAAAATACATTTAAACATTACAAATTAGTATATAACCGAACATTTTGGCCTCCTCTTATTTCTTAAACCGTATTAAAATATATTTCGCAAAATAGTAATTTTAGGAGAGTTACTATTTTGCGAAATGGACCATTTTCACCCCTGCGGTGACAACGTGACCTCTTTCATGTCACCAAAATACATTTAAACATTACAAATTAGTATATCACCGAACATTTTGGCCTCCTCTTATTTCTTAAACCGTATAAAAATGTATTTCGCAAAATAGTAATTTTAGGAGAGTTAATATTTTGCGAAATGGACAATTTTCACCCTGCGGTAACAACGTGACCTCTTTCATGTCATAAAAATTCATTTAAACATTACAAATTAGTATATCACCGAACATTTTGGCCTCCTGTTATTTCTTAAACCGTATTAAAATGTATTTCGCAAAATAGTAATTTTAGGAGAGTTACTATTTTGCGAAATGGACAATTTTCACCCTGCGGTGACAACGTGACCTCTTTCACGTCACGAAAATACATCTAAACATTACAAATTAGTATATCACCGAACATTTTGGCCTTCTCTCATTTCTTAAACCGTATTAAAATATATTTCGCAAAATAGTAATTTTAGGAGAGTTACTATTTTGCGAAATGGACTATTTCACCCCTGCGGTGACAACGTGACCTCTTTCATGTCACAAAAATACATTTAAACATTACAAATTAGTATATCACCGAACATCTTGGCATGTTGCACCAACATGACAGTTTTCCAGTGGCGTCTAAACATGTTTAGACTCTCCGTCTCGTATAGAGAACAGAAGCATATCCATGCCGAAATAGTCGTCCAGCAGTTTTATAATCGCAAGTAATACAGTTCCTTTGCTTCAAAATTTTTAATAAAAATAATATACATGGAAAAGTTACGCGTACGCGCTTCTGATTACACCCCCCGTCGCACACCTCTTCCTTACGAGCAAGAGATCGTGTTTCGCATTTGCGCAAGTTCCACGTGCTGCAAGAAGTTTGCTTTGTGCTCGCTTTGTGTGCTGTTAAATCAGGCAAGATTATGGCTTTTAAATTTCCTGTTCTTAAGCCCAAGACCATCGACTGTTCAGGTCTTCCAGTTCATGATTTCAAGTGTTTGACAAACAAGGAAATCATTGGTAAGGGCGCTTATGGTGCTGTGTTCACTGCTAACTGGCAGACTGTTCCTGATGCGGGTGGGAAGTCAGCCGCTGCGGAGAAAGTGGTCGTTAAGAAATTGCTCGGCGAGGACATATTGGATAAGAAAACGTTTGTAAAGGAAGCAAGAATCATTCAAGAGTTGAAACATCCAAACATTGTGAAGTTCAAGGGAATCTGCAACAATCCCTTCGCCCTTATTCTCGAGTATGTGTATTTCGATTTCCAACCATTCGGTATCGAGTCAAAAGTTAGCTCCCTTGCAGAATTTCTTGGTGTTCTTGAGGGCTCCGATTGCGACGGTTTCGTCACCCCTCAAGTCATCTCCACCATTTGCAAGGATGTAGCATTGGGTCTTAAATATCTGCACGACAAAGATGTCGCCCATCGGGATTTAAAGCCGGCTAACATCTTGGTCACCAATCAACACTACTGTGATCTGACTACAAGTGCTCAGAGAGAAGGCTGGGAACAGCGCCCTCTGCTATGTAAGCTAACTGATTTCGGTGAAAGCCGCTCCACTAAGATACAAACTAATTCCATCCTGCAGTCCCAAACTGCTCGAGTTAATCGAGGAACACCGGTATATATGGCCCCAGAAATGCTGATTGAAGCGATTCGTTTACCGCTTGCATCAGGAGAAGATCTTAAGAGAGCCGACATTTGGTCTTTAGGCATGGCCCTGTTTGTATTACTGAACCCTTGTGTCAAGTATCCCTACTTTGATGAAATACAAGCAGCCCTAAGAGAGGGAAAAACACCTCTGCAAGCACTGGAGCATTTCTTCATAACGAGAAAATTGCCAACGGAGCCATGCAAATATCAACACAAGCATGCTACTGACTGGTATTCGGTCAACAAGATTTGGCTTAAGTGTGCTCAATTTGACCCTGATAAACGGCCAAAGGTTGAAGAAGTGGTTTCCATGATCAGCCAGGGATCTACCATGTCTACTCTTAATATCCCCTTGAAGGTTAGTCATTTGTATTTTTTAAAGGGTAATATTTTTTAATCTTGTCAAGAACGAGGAAAATGTTCGTGAAAGGGTCATTAATGTAACCCAGCCAGTAATCGAGCTTTGCAAATTTCCTGAAGAGTGCGAAGTGTTCCGTGTAGAGAGTAATTTTACAAAACTGCAGTTTATCAAAATATACCATTTTAACTTTCTGCAAACAACCTTGTTCTTTTCTCTCACATGATGATTTGGCATGGAAATACGTTTCACAAAGATATTTTAAAAACCATTTTTTAAACGACAATTGTAGACACAAAAAAATTAAAAACCACATTATCTTACTGGCAAAAAGGAATTTGGAGAAGTATTTGTTGGGAAAGTGGAATATTTCCAATGCGTGGTGACAGTCTTGTCGTCCTTGTCTCCTAAAAAAGCCCTCGAACATCAGATAAAACAAGCTAAAATAAACTTATAATGTTAAAAATAATTACAGTAAAGATTATTCATCTTTGTGTGAAAGTCAAACTTTATTCCTCATAGGTCAGTCAAGCCTCATGCCTAGAACAGTACGACAGAAGGGTTGCACAGATTGTATCCAGAGGTGACAAGGTACCTGAAGAATTTCCGGATAATGATGGAACTAATGCCTGTGCCTTTCTATGTGTAAAAATTGCTCATGAAATACGTAAGTTCCGAGAAGAAGCAATTGGGGGTAGTAAGAAGCTGTGGCAAAATATTTGCGAAGTGGCAGAAAATGTCATCACAGAGTTCCCCCGAGTGGTAAATCCATACAGGAATTGTGAGGAACTCTACGATGTTCTGTCGGCGTACCAACTGATACGGAGTGTTGGTGCTGAAGTTGGCAAGTACGATTTTTCCGAAGAAATCTTGGAGAGCGACTTCGTATTCTCCCAAAAAGGGCAGACTAACCTTGTCCATGCCTTATCTTCCATGTTATCGAAAAAAGATTTTTGCGTTGCCATCTACACCTGTGAGCCATTAGTCTTCATAATTGGCCTTGCAAGCGACTGCTTCTTTATTGTAGATACCCATCCTGTTCCCGCCGAAGTTGGTGGTAAAGGCACCGGCCTTCTCAAAGTATTTTCAGAGGTAAAAGAAGAGGAAACGGCATGCGAAGGAGTCTGTCGCTGGATATGGCAGCGCCTGGTTTCTAGTGGTGTAAAAAATTATATGTTGCAGTCGCTCTCTATAATGAGCGAAAATGAAAGGTACCAGTCCTATTTCTTATGATTATTACAATATTATCCTTTACTGTTATTACACCGACGAAAGTGTAGCAGAGGAAATAGATGAATATCGCTTGATGTCCAAGTAACTTTACTTTCGAACACGGTATCCCCTGGACCTGAGAAAGCAAATTTACCATCTATATATTTGAAATTAACTCTGAACAGGTTGTCCAACAGATGATATTGCGGGGTTTCGTTTTTAAAATAATTTTTCTTTCATTTCAGTGTTTCGCCATCTTCGACTAGTAAAGAGCTGGGATTAATAGAGAGAAATGGTATGCAATCTTATCGTTTAGGCACAGATGTAATAATAGCTTGCTTAATTACCACCAACTTAAAGCCGAATTTCAGGTATTCATACACTGAGCGAGAATTGTAGTGAATACAGTTTGACTGAAAGCACGGTTTGTATTTACCTTAAAGCGTCACTTACAAAACCGTGGTCGATTTTCGTCGTTTAAGATTAGCACTTTCCTGTACAAACCATTAAGTTAAATACATTTCCCTGATGCAACTGTACTCATTCATGTCTGAACAGAAAGCTTATTTGGTTTTACATTTCAACGAACGCCAGTTACCCTACTACGGTAAAATTACGTACTTTTTTAAGGAAGTTACTGACTGTCTATTGTGGGGTTTGTCAGAATTTGAAATACATGAGAATTAAACTGCATAAATGCAATGTTGCCTTACTTGATACTGTGAAATTCACAGATGATTGCTCACCGATTGGCAACAGCGGTGCCGAAGAAAGTGTAGGGAGGGCAGAGCTATCTGTTCCAATGATTGTGCTCAGCAGTAGTGATGGCTCCGACGTAGTCCATACCTCAGAAAGCTATATACATATTGGCAAAGGCCTGGTAGAAAACGAACCTGTGAAAAGTTCTGTGAGCATCAGTTTGGCGTCCATGAGGAGAGATGAGCCCGTGAATGAACTGGATATTACGGGTTCCACAGATGGCGCTATTTACAAAAACTTCAGCAGTTTATAGAGTCTCAAACACGCAGAGCCAAAACGAATGCATTCTCCAAGACCAAAGTTAACCTAAGTGCAGCCCGCGAGCTGGAAGAGGAAATGGAAGACGATAGCGGAATCCCTTCATGTTCCAAACGACCCTCGAAAAGGTCCACGTAAGTGCCAAAAAAAACTAAGCGGGACTTCTGTTTTTCGGTTATTAACCTTTGTATTCTCCATTAGTATCTTAAGAAAACAGGAACACTCAGTTTTTGCTTTTCCGAATAGAATTTACACGTCACATAAGAAGAGAATTGTTACAAGCTAATGATAGAGGACCCACCGAATTAATTTATTTGTTTCTTTTATATGGAAACGATTAGGTCAACTGAAGTCGAAATAGCATCGCCGTTACACCAAAAAAAAAGACGGCGGCGGTCTCACGTATCTTCTTCGAGCAGCCTTAACGTGTCTGAAGAAGATGCGCCCGAAGTTGGCTCCGACAATGATAACTACGATCCCTACAGCAATGAAGACGACTCCGAGAAAGCTCAGGAAGGTAAAGAAAGATTAGAAAAGAGAAAGGAAACAAAACAAACAAACAAAATTGAAAAGGAAGGGCAAGAGACCACAGTTGAAATGATGAATTTTGAGAAGTTGGAAAAAGGTTTTTAGAAACCACAAGTTTAGTTTTCTCTCAACTGCCCAGAGCCTTTGTGGTTGATTCAATCGATCAGAATTGAGATTTTAGAAGAAACAGACGGTTTTGAAACACCTTGCGTGTTTCACTTTAAGAAGGAGTTTTGTATAAATGCTTTATAATTGGTAGGCGTTCATTTAAGGTATTTTGAAATATATTTTCGTACGAAGCATACTATATTTCCCCATAATGATAGATAAAATGGCTGCAAATAGTATCAAGAGTTTTTGCTTATTATCTGTGTTTCGTTTGTCTTTTTAGGCCTAAAAATCAATGGGCAACCTGTTTTTAAAGTTTCTCAGAAGGGTCTTTCAACAAAAGAAGTTATAGATATCTGCATCGCAGGTAATTTTGACACTAAGAAAGTCTGCCGCAAGGTGGCACACGGAGTTACCGAGTCGGCCATTTTTATTGTCGATCTAAACATCGTTAATGAAGGAGATTTGACGACGGATGGTAACGGAGTATACGCGTGTCACTCTTGTCCCACCGAAGTTGTCAGGGTAGATTTTTCCAGTGAATCTCGTATCAAAAGAGTCAGCAAACCTAAAAAAGGAAAAAAAATCCTGAAGGAAGCCACATTTTTCTGTCAAGCGTCATTACTGCTGGCATGCGTCTTAAGATGAGTTTTGCCGTATTATAACTAAGGTACATGACCACCGCAAAGGGGAGCTTGGACGATATGTTGTAATGCAGTATAAAGTTACAGAGGGAGGAGAAAAGATATTTTCTAGAAAGGCCCATGGAAACGTGAAACATCACAAAGAGGCTTTTTTCGAACAAAACCAAGCGTCCTTACGAGGATAAAACAGTATGCCGAAGAGAATCCTGCAAAGCACGTAATCACGAAAGTACAGCAAGATGCAGGTGGTGTTTCTAATGTCAAATCTGTGTCCGACATCCCACGTAACAGAAAACAAGTATACAACCAGGCCAGCAAAATAGAAAATCGCATTCGTTCTCGGAGTACAGGACCACAAAAAGCAGCCGATTTTACCAAATTAGTTACTCAACTGCAAACTTCTGACTTTGTAAAAGATGTTTCATTTGGTCTTCGCCACGGAAAAGATACCTCCCCAAACACATTCGCAGCGAAAGATTTGCATATTGAATGGTTAAAAAGTTTTTGTTCAGGAACCAGTCCCAAATCTCAGTGCGGTATCGATATGACTTACAACTGTGGACTTTTCTATTTGACAACTTTAACTTTCCCACATCCAATGTTTGTTCATAGAAATGCACGCGATAAACACCCAACTACTTTGGCAGGCATCATGACAAGCACGAGTAGGGAAATGGAGGACTACGAGTACCTAGCAGCAAATTTAAAGAGGAAGGGCATCTGTAATCTAACCTATGGAACTGATGGAGAAACTCCTTTGGAAACAGGCTTCGAGAAGGTATTTCCAATTCATGGAACTTCTTCAAGTGACACAAATATCCATCTCCGATGTTTTGACCATGTTAAAACAAACATATTAAAGAAGTTAACAGAATTGAAGGTACCGTCACCAAAGCAAACGGAAATAGCTCGCGAGCTTCTAGGCTCTGAGCATGATGGGAGAAGGATTATAGGTCTTGTAGATTGTACCTCTGAAGAGCAGTTTGATAAGGAGCTGAAGGTTACTGAGGGCCAATGGCCAGAGGCATTTACCAAATGGCTTCACTCAAGTGAAGGTCGTCTTCGACCTTTATCTGAGAGTATGAAGAAATGCATGTTACGACCTGTTCGTGTTGCTGCTGGCCTTGGAAACCCGCCAAACAAGTGGCAAAACCAGAGAACCGAGGCATACAACAATGTCATAAAAGAGGAGATTTCCAGACAGAAAACTGATCAGGTGACGATACACGATCTCATTGAGAAACGCGTAGTGCAGCCTCATTTAGACGAGCTGGTTAAAGCCATCTATCAGATGGGAGAATATCGTCTGTCCGCAGACTATAATCACCTTGAGGTGGATCCATTACAGTGGACACAAATGACATCCCAGCAACGCGACGCAAAAATAAAAAAAGTCTTTGGTTGTATCCTTCCCAGCAGAAGGAGGGATGAGGCCATCACTAGAAAATTGTCCATAGGCCTTGTCGAGTGCCAGCTCTCATTACAATTTCCTTCTTATGAGCTTAAAGATATATGGAGGAGGGCGGAAATCATACTGTCGCATTATAAGATCATAGAACTTGCAAATACAAACTTCTGCGTCACTGAGTTTGATACCAGTTACACAGTAAAAACAAAGAAAGAGAAGATATCGTGCGACAAGACCTGCAAATCTTTCCGTGATAGTGGTGGTTTGTGCCCTCACGTCCTTGTTGTCGCTGAGAAGATTGGTAAGCTGCGAAGTTTCATCACCACTTACAAGAAAGCTTCTAACAAAATGGGAAAAATCATCAGCGCAAACCTCTCTAAACAGCTTGGGGGAAAGCCGAATCAACGAGTAAAACAAAGAAGAGGGAAAAATAACGTAAGCCAGGTGCCAGTCGTGTCAGAAGAAGACCCTTATGACGTTATGGTGCCAAAGCCCACGAGATACATCGAGTATTACCAGAATGACGAGCCCTTTTATGTGGTGTTTACTCATGACTACTCGAATGCAAGAACATGCACCGGTTGCACAAATGAGTTCCCCAAGAGAGTACAGATAGCGCCCTACGACATTGTTCTACTTCACGAGGAGCGTTATCGCTACCCTAAAAAAGACGATAACGGCAATGTTGAAATGGTCGTAACGCATAAAAAAAAGGCAAAGAGGTTTTATTGCATTGATAAGAGCTGTATCCTTCCAAGGCACCCGTATTTCTGGAGAGGCTTGATAACTGTCACCAACAGTGTAAAGCAGCGTTTGAAAGACGGTCACAAGGATTTGCTTCTTGCAATGTTGAAGTTTGAAATAGGCGAAAATTACACAAAGACCTAATTCAACAAATTAATAGTATTTCAATTCTTGTTTCTACATTAGTCTATTCAGTCGTTACAGTAGAACTCAGCCAGCTCAAATTTCCTAAGGAGACAAAAAATTGTTCGAGTTAGCTGATAGTAAATGACTGAAAAATTGGGCCAAGGGAAATTGGATCTCATTCGAGTTACCGGGGGGTTCGAGTTAGGGGGGTTCTACTGTATTTCAATCGCATTTAAAACTTTCTCAGGTTTTGGGTTTCCAGTAAATTTGCAATTTTTAAAGCATATGTAAATCTTTTAAGTAATCAAATATGTACTGTTGACAATAGAATGGCAATATTTTTTTCATCATGGCGTAAAAATAATTCATTTCGTAGAGTAGCAATTCTTCCAAAATTACTACTTAAAGAAATATATTTTTATACGGTTTAGGAAATAAAGAGGTGACCAAGATCGGGAGTGCACCATAACGTAATGTTTAAAAGTAAATTTTTGACCCAAAAAGAAAGACATTTTTGTCATTGAAGGATAAAAATATTTCGTTTCGCAAAATGGTATGCCTGCCAAAAACTACTATTTTGCAAAATGTATTTAAATACGGTTTATGAAATAAGAAGAGGACAAAATCTTACTGCATCAACCAAATACATATTGTGTGACACGAGAATGGCAACATCGTTGCCGCCCGCCGAGAGTAAATAATCCATTTCGCAAAATAAACATTTTTCGGAATTACTACATTCAATTAGTTTAGAAATTACTACATTAAAGAGGAGGTGACCGAGATCTTTGAGAATATACTATAATGTAATGTTTAAATGTATTTTCGTGACGTGAAAGAGGTCACGTTGTCACCGCAGGGGTGAAAATAGTCCATTTCGCAAAATAGTAACTCTCCTAAAATTACTATTTTGCGAAATACATTTTAATACGGTTTAAGAAATAACAGGAGGCCAAAATGTACGGTGATATACTAATTTGTAATGTTTAAATGAATTTTTATGACATGAAAGAGGTCACGTTGTTACCGCAGGGTGAAAATTGTCCATTTCGCAAAATAGTAACTCTCCTAAAATTACTATTTTGCGAAATACATTTTAATACGGTTTAAGAAATAAGAGGAGGCCAAAATGTTCGGTGATATACTAATTTGTAATGTTTAAATGTATTTTTGTGACATGAAAGAGGTCACGTTGTCATCGCAGGGGGTGAAAATGGTCCATTTCGCAAAATAGTAACTCTCCTAAAATTACTATTTTGCGAAATATATTTTAATACGGTTTAAGAAATAAGAGGAGGCCAAAATGTTCGGTTATATACTAATTTGTAATGTTTAAATGTATTTTCGCGACATGAAAGAGGTCACGTTGTCACCGCAGAGTGAAAATGGTCCATTTCGCAAAATAGTAACTCTCCTAAAATTACTATTTTGCGAAATACATTTTAATACGGTTTAGGAAATAAGAGGAGGCCAAAATGTACGGTGATATACTAATCTGTAATGTTTAAATGTATTTTTGTGACATGAAAGAGGTCACGTTGTCACCGCAGGGGTGAAAATAGTCCATTTCGCAAAATAGTAACTCTCCTAAAATTACTATTTTGCGAAATACATTTTAATACGGTTTAAGAAATAACAGGAGGCCAAAATGTACGGTGATATACTAATTTGTAATGTTTAAATGAATTTTTTTTGACATGAAAGAAGTCACGTTGTTACCGCAGGGTGAAAATTGTCCATTTCGCAAAATAGTAACTCTCCTAAAATTACTATTTTGCGAAATACATTTTAATACGGTTTAAGAAATAACAGGAGGCCAAAATGTTCGGTGATATACTAATTTGTAATGTTTAAATGTATTTTTGTGACATGAAAGAGGTCACGTTGTCATCGCAGGGGTGAAAATGGTCCATTTCGCAAAATAGTAACTCTCCTAAAATTACTATTTTGCGAAATATATTTTAATACGGTTTAAGAAATAAGAGGAGGCCAAAATGTTCGGTTATATACTAATTTGTAATGTTTAAATGTATTTTTGTGACATGAAAGAGGTCACGTTGTCATCGCAGGGGTGAAAATGGTCCATTTCGCAAAATAGTAACTCTCCTAAAATTACTATTTTGCGAAATATATTTTAATACGGTTTAAGAAATAAGAGGAGGCCAAAATGTTCGGTTATATACTAATTTGTAATGTTTAAATGTATTTTCGCGACATGAAAGAGGTCACGTTGTCACCGCAGAGTGAAAATAGTCCATTTCGCAAAATAGTAACTCTCCTAAAATTACTATTTTGCGAAATGAATAAAAATCCTTCTTATTAATGAACGATTACTCCAAAATCCTTGTGAAAGTTATCTTTACCTTATTTGAAAATATATCTGCATTATTCCTTTTGTTTTATTTCATCTGACCCGATTTCGTTTCGTTTCGTTTCGTTTCGTTTCGTTTCGTTTCGTTTCGTTTCGTTTCGTTTCGCAAAATAGTATAAGCCTCATAGAAGTGATGCTGCTTTCATTTTTTTGGCACCTATTAACCCTTTGACCCCTGACCCCTGAGAGTGATTAGCATTTAATTTCTCCTTACGATATCACCCCTGAATCAAACATAATAAAGGATATGATCACCAGCTTAAGAAGCTCTTGATTGTTCAACAAATTCTCCTTTTCAGCACCTTAGAAAATGTATAGAGAACAGTACGGAGAATATGCATACTGATGTTAAGGTGTAAAGGGTTAAGAAAACAGCTCAAAATCTTAAACTAAAATTTAACATTTATTTGTAGAAAAACCAGAAGTTTCTGACTGGCCTCAGCTTGTTGAAGCTACATGCACCCCTTCACGATTTTCTTCCTTTGCTGTCGTTTGGCGCCTTAAGTCCTTCACATTCACAAGTGGTACTTTAGTGGTTCCTCAATTGACGTGTGTAGTACCTGACTTTCCAGACATACGTGTTGAAGTTCCTCTCGGTTCTGTACCGGTTGATCAGGATTTTACTTTGACAATTAAGGTACAGGAAAACCCCGTTAACTTGTTTGATTAACTCGAAACCTCCCCCGCTAACTCCTGGAATTGACCTTGTTTTTCCAGTCATTTACTATTAGCTGGCTCAAACTTGGTTTACTAAAACTGCCCGTTAACTCAAACTAAGTTTACTTTCCCTTGGCTCAAATTCACGCTAAAAAGTCGAACTTAAAGTAAAAATGTTGGTCCCAAGATTTTCAAAATCAGAATTAGATTTTTTCTTTTGTCCTAATTCAGAGGCAAATTACTTTAGGACGTGTGTGCATGTGCTTGTTAATACATTATCTCTGTTACTTTTACTCCTCAAAACATGCGTCCACAGAAGTAACTTTTTAAAGGATGATCTTTCTTTACTCAGGGACAATCTGAAAATTTATGGCCTATCCTGATCTAAGAAAGAATAGTGTTTTATGTGTATGTAATTCACCAAAGTCAACACCCATTCTGATTTTTCATCTAAGGTACAAGAATTTCCAAGCAATGAGGTTGAAGACATTGGGATACTGTGTGGTCCTGTCATTCACATTTCAAGCTCTCAGAACATTGAACATATGGAGCCTGTGACTATCAAGGTTCCCCTCGCCCTTCGTGAAAGTGAGCATGACTTATCAGAGCTTTCAAATGAGGTCATAAGGATATCATACCTCGATTCAGAGGGCAAACAATGGAGAGATATCACAGGTCAACTAGAGGGGCCAGTTACAGTTAAAGATGGAATTGTAGAATTCAAAGTGAAGCATTTTTGTTGGTGAGTTATGCAAGGTCTTAAGTTTAGTTTCATGGGAAGAGATTTCTTATTTATTTTTTCTTTCCATTAATGGGATGTTTGTCATGTGGGCCTAGTTTTCAGCCCCTAGTTACATGACACTCTGGTTGGCGGCACTCCTAGTGTTTTTTCTCCAGAGCATGCCTTTAATTTGTTTCTGACAGGGTAAGTTGGTGGTGAGCCACACTGCCGCGCGGGAGGTGGAGGGCTCTAACGGAGGAACAGACTAACATTAAGCGTATTGAGAAAAATTGAGAAGCGTATGGTACCTTTTAGATGTCATCGGGAAATAATTAGACTAGTCAGTCTTCTTGAATAAAGACTATTAACCAGGGTTTCTAATAAAAAAAATCCCATGAACGGTAGTCTACTGCCACCCTAAAGACCATTTACCACCGTCTGTTGAACCTGCAAGCAGGCTCTCTTGAGATGGACGTGTCTCAGAGTGAAACAGCCTTCCAGGTTTTCAAACACTAAGGATCATTTTTGAGTAAGATGTTGCAGTGTATTCATGTTTTTACTTTTTGTTTTGCAGTTTCTGTCCAGTCTGCATGTTCACTGAGTCTGTTGCTCTTTTACAAGATTTTTTTCATCGTCTTTCCTTCAGACTCATGCCTCAATGTGTACATTTTCTCACTTGTTTATGTAAGACAACAGTTTCTGATACTTACAGCCTTTCACTGTACTGTTATCCAAACTTTAAAAAAGCTGAGGTGGAAAAGAAATTGTCAAGATATGTCACACCTTACCAAGGTGAAGGAAAGTCAAAGGAGCCTGCTTGTGTTGGGGATAGAATTGTGGTTTCCTTAATAGCACTTGATTTTGTGAGGGAGTCTCAAAGGAATCAAAAGTTAGTTCTCAGGTAAGTTATTGATTTCCTTTGAAAAGTTTTTCATGATACAGCATAGTACAGCTAAGAGTCTTGACTTACCAAATTACCTCTTGACACTCTTACTCCAAAGATCTAACTATTTATTCTCCCCTCTAGCCGCAACAGATTTCCTTGTAAATTAATAATAAGAATTTAGTGTTTGACGAAGATTACAACTTCTACCCAATAAGTTTAAATATTCTCATCACCTGATTGCTGGATAATATGTGGATATTACGGGGAGAGGTGACATGTTAATCACTTCTGGGAGTAAAGGGGTTTAAAGGCAACAAAAACAAAACCTTGCAGGTTTTGTACATTTTTATGAATCGCTTCCGTAGGTCACTGACACTTATAATATTTTTATTGTTTATTTATTAAATTATCTTGTTAGAAAGTTAGGTATATATTTAAACTTTGAATAATGCATAATAACTTCTTTATTAATTAGTATTTGTACAGGTCACATCTCGGTAGCAGGGTTAAAAGTTCCACATTCATCGGGTTGAATATGAGTTGGGGTGAGGGTTGGTTGGCGGCCAGTATGAAGTGGAGAAGTAGAGATAAAATGAAACCCACACAATCTAGCTAGAAACAATTATTTGGTTTCCATTTTTCAGGTTTCTTGGAAATGATATATCTGACAACAGTGATATGGCTTTGATTGTTCGCTTGGACAGTGAAGGTGTTCCAATAGTGAAGTTCTCGAAAGACGAAGAACTGCAAAAAGTTCTCTGTGAAGTGCCAATCTTAAAGACTCGACAAGCATCTGTGGTACAGATAGCATCGTTTAGTAAATGTTCCTTTAAGGGAAATATTCAACTGAGTGTTGAAAGTAAACCGAGATTTTATTAGCTTTACTTTACTTGGCTCTTTGATTAGTCCAGGAAACTGGCACCTCTCTCTCAAACAATCAGATGTAAAACAACTCAGTTACTCACGTTTCCCCGCGCTTTAGGTTGTTTGGTTGGGTTTTACTTTGACCTCTCATTGGCTCTCAAAGGCATTTTCCTTTCTTTCAAATGCCCGTTGTGATAACTTTGTTTTTTGGTCTTAGGATAATTAACTTTACAACACTCCAATTTACCAGTAATTCATGACCTTAACCAACACTTATTATAAGTACAATAGCTTACTTTGTATCTTAAACTTTATTAGATGAATCGTGGATTATTCAAGCGTAAATGCTAGATTCTAAAATCTCGAGAATGAAATCGGTCAGAATACTGGTTCTTTTAGTTTTTAGTATCTTCACGCCTGAAATACCATTTGACATCGAGCAGATGAGTAAGATGAGTTTATTTTAAATCATGATTTCTTATGATTATGTCGCAGGTTCCTGTAACAGAGAGCAGAGATCAAAGAGTGGCACCTGAGGAAAGACCTGCACTGGGTGAGTGGACCTTGACAATCACTTGATTAGAAAAAAGGGGGGGGGAGGAGGTGATCATAATACCACGAATTGTATTCCTTTTTTTTTGATTGACACTTATTTTGATAGGGGACCAGTCACTATCTATGGAGGGAGGGTTGAGGATTTTGGTCAAGTCACGATAAAATGAACCTGATCCCCCCTAAAGGCTCTGTAATATATTTATCATTTCCTCCCCCCTCAATGGTAGTTTATTGGGAGTCAATTTTCTATAAAACCCCCCTCTGTACTCTGTTGATGACAACTGATTCCCCCTCAGTTTCCCCTGAAAACCATGTGATCTCAAACCATGAAACTGAAACTGAAAACCATGTGATCCCAGGCAATTATCAGGTGATCTAGATGGCAGACTCTGAGGAGAGTTACTCATGAGATCTGGGAGTGAAAGCGTTAATAACTAAAGTAAGTGTTTGGTATCTCAGGGTGTCAAGTTTCTATTTTTTCCTATTTTTTCCTATTTTTTGGCCTGCCTCCCATTTTCTCCTACTTTTTCAAGAAACTCCTGGTTTTTCCTTTTTTTTTAGGGTTTTACTGGGTACACAGAAACACTTTGAAATATTTGAAATAAAATTGCCAATAAAATTGATAAATTCTACCAAAAAACTGAAACTTCATGTCAAAAAAGACCAGTTTGAGGCCTTTCTGAGTGATTTTCTTCTGAAACTCGTAGTACAAAAGGGAAAACTGTTGACTGACAAACAGCAGAAACTGTTAGAAAAGGCCATCTCCTCAACAGCAAATGCGGCCAAAAAAAAGAGCAAAGCTAAGGTTACCCAGTCTGCTAAAAGAGCGAAAACAGTATACTGGCAGTGTTGGACTTTTTGGTTGTTGATGTTCAAAAGTCGTGGTCGGCTTCTATTGTGAGGAAGACATACATTTGGTGACAGTGAACTTTGATATTGTTTCGATTTGTCAAAAAAATTATTGTTGCTTATCGTTCTCACAGTTTTAAAGGACTAATGACTTAAATTAAAGGCATCTTGTGATGTACCTAATGAAATTTGGAATCTGGTGATTATTGTAGGATGAGTTGTGCTTGGTAACATAGGTGGTAACACTTGTTTTTGTTTATATGGCAATGCATTGTGGATGTATGCCATGGTGCCTGTTAAATATTAAAGCACTGGGTTGTGGAACGGAGTTGCTGTTGGGAGTGTTGAGAGGATAGAACTCAAAGAAATCCTCATATTTTTTTCCTATTTTGGGGTGAGAATTCCTATTTATTTCCTATTTTTTTGCCACTGTCATTCCTATTTTCTAAGTGTCATTTGTCACTTGGCACCCTGGTATCTCAAAATCAACAGTTTACATCAGAACCTTGAATGCGCAATAATTTTTTAGTTTCAGCACGAGAGACAAGTTTGAATTTTTTTGCTTGAGTATCATGCTCAATGTGTGAGAGTTGAAAGCTCTGCGTGTAGAAGCCTTATTGACCACATGGTACCTCTCATACGATTTTTACTTCCACCCTTGATTAATTTTTGATATGAAGAGCTACCAGGGAATAAAAATACTGTTCTTCAAGTAATTGTTAAAAGTGGGTTTTAGGAAGTATTTATTCAGTGAGCAACTTTTTCATTTAAAGATATTTAAAATTTGAATTTTATATTAATCTTATGCCGAACTGGTTTTAGTCAATGCAGGTGCAGAAGATTTGAATGTTTTTTTTTTCCCAACCCTCAATTAGTTGCTGATGTAGAGAAGGAAGAAAAAGATAATGAAGATCAATGCAATCCACGTGGTAAGAAAGTTTATTGGTTGACCAACATTTCCTAAGACTACGATCGTTACAACTTGATACTGAACGTATATTCAACCTATGATGTGACCATAAATCGTGCTGTATACTTTTGTCATGACTTATTGACAACTGAGAAATTATCTTAAATTGTTTTACTTGATTTTCCGTCTTAATTCAGCTAACAGTTGTCTTTATTTATGCTTCTCATTAACAATTAATTTGTCTTTGTAGTCAAACAAAATACACCCAGTGACAATGAACTGGAATATCTTGCCTCAAAGCTTGGTGATCTTTGGAAAAAGCTTGGGCGCCGCTTGAAAATCCTAGAACCAAAGCTTGATGATCTGAACAAATTAAACGAGGCTCTCTCTGAAAAGGGATATAAAATGCTCATGCATTGGAAGGAGGTAAACGGGTCAGCCGCAACGTATGAAATTTTGGGTCATGCCTTACTGGATAGGCTTGTGAATCGACGAGATTTAGCGGAGGAATTTTGCTATGAGAAATAATAACCGAAAAATGTGCCCCTAACGTCAGATTGTATATTTTGTATGTACTAATTCTTATATTAATTTAATCTTAATTTTGTGAGTATCTGATTTCTGATTTTTGGGGTTTTCGTATCAGGCGGCGGCACAAAAGCTTTTTAGCCCGAGAGGTGATGACTAGTTTTTTATTATTCTGTGCAACTTTGTCGGACGGTATTAAATTCTCAGGCTCCTAGTTCGAGCTGCACACCCACTCTTGTGTATGAGTCGTGAATTTAAATAGGAACAGTACATTTCTTAAAGTCACCGAAACAGATCGGCATAGTATCCATATCCACATTCTGAGAAACTTTTTTCTACCTCCCGTGACGCGGACTCACTGCTAGAATCGACACTAATTGTCGCACTTACTGTTGATGATTCCAACTTAGGACCTAATATTGCTGATACTTTAGTCTGGACATTTTTATTAGCTTTCTCATACTTCATCAAAGCATCCGATCTATGACCCGATCTATCGTGAATTAGCTTCCTGTCAACACCAGCATTAAACAAACTCGACGCACACGTTACGCGTAAACAGTGCGCAGTTTTTCGCTTTCTTCCGGCAGCCTCGCACATATCGGGCAATAAACGATGAAGCGTTTTAATGCCCACCGGTAATTAGTAGTTCTTTTCGCGTTAGGCCTGAAATAGAATGCATCAACTTCCTTCGCGCAAATTTGCACGACCAATATAAAGGCGGTAATATTCAATAAGACAAGTCTCGTGGTGTTCACCCACAGAATGGCAAATATGCCTCACGTGGCGCGGTTCATATTTCAAATCAAGCAAGCTTCCATGAAATGTTTTGGACGCATTTTCTTCAAAACGGATGTAATTACCACCTATTTCAAAATTCTTCAAGCAGATTCGCCCATGCTCCCCCCACGGTGACCAAATAATTTGCCACTATAGTAATATACAACATTTAAAAAAGACTTAGCCGTCTCCATTCCAAATACTCCGCTTTGCCACAGCTACCTTTCTTCTTCATCAGTGACTGGCTCCTTTTTGTTTCGCTTTCGAACCAATGCTAGCTCGAGTCCCATCCTTCATTTCTGCGTCCAATATTCGTCTAAAGATAGCAAATCTAATGAGGAAAAGGGAAAGTTCGATGCAATTTCCTTAAGTTTTAAAATATCCAACACCTAAACCCTAAGCACCTTTTGTCTGAAGAGTCCAAGCGATTGAATTCGATAGCTGGGTTCTTTTCCACCATGAATCGGCGAATGCCGCAGACAATCTGGTACAACGTTTTCGGAGGTTATGGATCTTTGGAACACTTTGCCACCTTGAACAAATTTGGATAACCAATAGTTGAGCATCAATGCTTCCATCTCTGTTATGGGCCGAGTAAGCGGCTGAACTTTGTCCAATTCATACTCTTAAAAAACTCCACCAACTTCGACTATTGGAAACTTGACACTTCGCACTCGTTGCCAATCCTCAAAAATGCCTACTGCCCTCTTATTTTTATATCTGGTAGAATTCGGTACTGCTCTCTCTACGCAAAGTTCTCCTTCCTCGATTGTTTTCGGGAAGCGAAACCTTCCTTCGGCTATGGCAAAAACAACATTTAAACTACTTCAAGTTCACAACGCTTTTGGAATACAAATTTGGTGCAACGCGAAACTATTGGATACTTAAAAACAAGCTCACAAATACAATGAATGCCGACTGAAGGCAACAAATCACACGTACAAGGCATTTTAAATAAAAATAGGAAAAAGACAACACTGCATAATTTAGTATTGTTTCTTTGGAGAAGTCATTTCAAAAACTCGTGCTTCGGGTTTCATCAAGTTTCCAGACGCTCGAAAACAATAACACTACTCGGCCTGCGGCCTTGTGGTTTCAAATGTTTTCTCGCGTTTGGAAACCTGATGACACTCTCGCACTCGTTTTTGAAATAGTACAAAGTAATTTTTTAATCTATATGGAAACCCCCGGAAGGGGGTACACGGGTCATTTTCTGCTGGATATGTGCAGTTGGCTTTTCTGAACCTCTGCCGTATTTTAGCCTATGTTGTGGCCAATTAGAGACCCCATATTTGTCCGCTTTTGGGCAAGACCGGAATGGAATGGGAGCCATCAGGAGCCCTACTAAGGCTGCGGAGCCGCTAAACTTCAGGCCCCTTGCGGCCTATAGTTCACTCTTCCCTATAAAAACGACATTGTCGGATTGAAAGAAGACAGACCATTTTGATTAAGAAATTATTGTAAAGAAATAAGTGTAGTTACATGATTTATGGTAGTAGTGCCTTTTACAATTATCGCTCTTCTCATTTTAAGTAAGCTGCGTGACTACGCGGTTGCGCACGTGCAAACAGGAAAGGAGACACTGTTAAAATTCCGTCGAAGCCTGAATTTCTTTCAGGCTTTTTTCAGCAATTGTTTAAACAGCAGCGCATCTGCGAGGATCACTGCTTTACTTGATTTTCATCCACAGGTCAAATGAAATTTATTCAAATTAGAATTGTGAAATATTTAGGCCCAGCACATACAGGAGCTCCTGGTACATGTTAAAAAGCAGAGACTGTTTCAAAGACATGAAAGAAAAAAGAACTTACAGTTATCCCTTGAAATGCTGCAATCACCTTTCTGAGGACCTTAATATTAAAATTTTCTGGGTAGGGGGCATGCCCCTCTGTCCTCCGAGGATGGTCTGCCTTCGGCGAACATCTACCCGAGTCCTAAGTGAATCTTGGACTTTCCCCAAATACATAAATTGTCTTTGGTTTTCTCAGATTAAATTTATATAATTCATGAGAATTATTACTAGGATACTGTTTTAACATTTTTAAAATTCTCAGTTTCGATAAGGTACCACTTTGGAGAGGGTCCACTCGTATCTCGAGCAAAAATTCACCGCGGTTTTTTTCTTAATTTATTTTTACATTGATGGCGCTGTGTTTCATGGGATCAATGTGCCAATAAGCGATTTTTCCGCTGCCTATACGACGCCGAAGATCAAGTAATTTCGTGGAGCTGGATTTGCCATCCAATACGCGAACTTTTTACTTTCGAGTGAAGTAAATAGTTTACTAGCCTTGTAACGTATCCACGATAGCCATGTCTTTTAATTGCCGCCTTCCCTCTGTTGATTGCGCTAGTCAATGGAATGAACAGGTGTGAATTAATCCAGTCACGTTTCGAGGAATTGTTCGACAACAATTAAGATAACAAACAGCAACAATTCCGTTTGAGAAGTGTTATTGGCAAAAGAAAGGCTAAAAGTAATTAAGTTCAACCTTTTTAGTTTAAATATGTCGCCCAACTCTCTTTTTCCGGCACGATAACCCCTTAGTGCTGTGAATTTTACTTCCGCCTTTGGAAATTGTTTCTTAAATATACAACTGTAGGTGAAATTTAATTTACACACTAGTAACAACTTAGGCTCCTAGTGTCAGACGCTTAAATGCTTCCAATAACGGTATTTAAGGTACAAAGACATCGATCTGAAGTAAAGACTCGGCAGACGCTGAGGCCACTGACTTGAATTGCGAGACCGAGAACAAACTATTTACCCTAAGCAACAACCGACCATTAAGCCGTCGCTAGACTCAGATAATGGCTAAGTACTGTTAATGACAAGACAATATTGCATTAGAGTTGAGACGATGTACTCTTTTTTGCGTTCATGTTAACGATGCGTCAGCATACACACCGTATTTTTTTCTTATTTCTAAACTACAGGGATCATATATTAAATTCTCCTCGTTTACATCTTAACTCTAATAAGCTTCTCCCCTCAGAACGAGGACCCCTGCTGTAAGTAAAAATCCCAGATCAAAAGGAAAAGTGACAATTGGGACTCACCACAAAGGCTAACGAGTTCCGATTCAAAAATGGCGGGCCTACGGTTTTTCAAAGGTTCCTTTCGCCACCCTTGAAAAGGAACCACAACCCTTCAGCTCTGAAGTTTCTTAACTAGTATGACTGCTCTTGTGGGAGCCACATATAGACCTATGACTTGTCTGCCACTGCAGTGGAATCATACAAGATTGTAGATATCTAACAGATGGAGAAAAATTCTTGATTTTTTCATTGTTCTTGTACCAACATCATGATTTGACAGAGGATAATGGAGTATGGATGGGCAGTGACTGTTTTTGAATAAAATCATATTTATTTGGAAGCTGCAATGTAAACATTTTTTCCCCAAAACACTTACAAAGACTAACACGAGGCACCCTTGTAACATGAGCACTGCCCATAGGGTAGCCTGTGACGCTCATTAAAATCTAATCTAAATTGATATTTGTGTTTGGCAGAGTAAGTGGTGTTTAAATATGGCCAGTCAAGCCGAAAGAGATGCAGATAATGGTGCCAGACCAAGTACTGGTGGTTCTGCCATGAGAGTAGTGATAGCAGAGGGAATAAGGTAGAGATTAATGATGTTTGGACAGCTAGAATATTGGTGACCGCTGTCTCTGGGGCTGGAATTTCTTCAGGAAGAGGCATAGGAACTTTTTTCCGTAAGAACCCAAAATTGGTTACAGATAAATTACAACCGGCTCGTAAAGTTTGGGTTAAAGTTAAGAACACCGGGCCTGGGTCAATTATTGTTGACTTGGATTGTGGATCACATAAGAAATTTTTACAATTTTAAAAAAGACTTCAAGGATGGTAAAGTTAAAAATGCAATGGAGAATGAGTTAAGAAAAATTGGCTACCATGCCAAACTGGAATTAAAACTCATAGAGGAAACTCGCAATGTGGCTATGATCGAAACGAGGTAAATGGGTTGTTTTTATTTGATAGCTGACATGTAATGGTCTGTTAGTCAAGGGACTGGCCAGGCCTTCCCTTCATACGTCCCTCAACAGGCAAGTTAAGCATTTTAGCAGGCAGTCACATTAACATCTCTAGTCATACCTGTTTAAGCTTGTATTGTAATTTAGTACACCCTAAAATCAATGTGCACACATTCTCCATACTGTTCTCTAAACATTTCCCAAAGTAGACACAAGGAGAATTTATTTAACAATCAAGAGCTTCTTTAATTAGTTGGTAATCATTTCCTTTATTCTCCTGACCTTGACCGTGTGGTTTAGGGATGATATTGTAAGGAGAAATTAAATGCTAGATTAAGTCACTCTCGGGGATCCAATGGTTAGTATTTAGTTCTGTTTCCAACAGTGTGAAGATTGTTTTATCTGCATTAATGCCTTTACTGTTCAGTTCAAATGCATTACTGGGTTCTCTATTAATTCTTCCAGATATGCTAAGGACCTTTAGTATGAAAATTTTGCTTTTTCATAATGACCAGCAAGCTCCCACTTTTGACTAACATAACATTCTTGATTTGAGCTCGCGATGAAAATCCACGAAGTTATAGGTGACTATAGAGTTCTCTAGCCATTAATCTCTTGTAAAAATGCAAACTGCTCAGAATCAAAATGGAGAATTAATTATTCACTTTATGTGGATGTTTTTTGTTTCAAATGCCACATTCTTATCTGAGATTCAGTATAATTAAGAGTTCTTGTCAGCTGTGTTATTTTATTTTATTTGTTAGTGTTGACATTTATCCATCATCACAATGTATTGACCTCTAATGTTAGCAAAAAGAAAAAAATAGTTATTTGATAGGTAGGAGCTATATTTTTTGAGAACATGGTTTTCCATAGGGTACAATGTTGTATTTTCAACAAAAAACCTAGGATGGGAAAGACCAAGAAAATTTTATTTGCTGAAGAAATTCAGGAATCAGGAAAAAAGTGGCATCCAAGAGCTGGTGTGACATGTGCTCTATGAATGTTTACAGACATTTACATAATGCAATATATCAACACTATATATATATACACTTTATAGGTGTAAAGTAGAGATAACTTTGCAGCATGTAGTTACCAATAAAATTTCCAGTTAGTTATTAATCTTCAGAATCTAGTGATTAATTTAACCTTGGTTTACATCCTTTTATTATTAGCATTACAACATTGTACAACAAGACTGTTTAGCTAATATTAAACACGCCTACGTAGCAATCATCTCCATGTGCCTGAAAAACGCAAAAAATTATGCCTGTTCTGTAGGCTAAATCTCTTTAACTTTAGTTCTTTAGGCAACAAGTTAGTAGGAGGAAATGCAAGCACAAAAATGAGATACCACATTTTTACCCTAACCTTTTCATCTCTCTTGCTTACATACTAGCTTTTGGTTCCACTGAAGTTAAGCAAGAGGAAAAAAGGGGCTGAGGAACTTCTGGGGTATCCAGCACTAGTGAGACAAGGAATTTTAAGGGTAATGAAAAAAGAAAAATTACATTTTAAGTTGATTAATTTTCAAAAAACTTGTAATTGCTGCATGCACTTTACGTAATTATCCATTAGCATGATATTTTAAGGATGGATCATGTAAAATTTCTTTACAGACTCGAAGAACTTTCAATTTATCTCCCAAAATAGGTTTTTTGTCATAAATTGTTACTGACTTTCAATCAGTTATACCCCCACCAGCTCTCAAAATGTAAATCAACTGTGATCAGTTTGATTCAACATATATACCTGATAATATGAGGAATGTGTGCGTGGATATGTATTTGTATACTTTTAAAATTGACCAGTCTCCCCCAGCAGCGCTCATCTCAGGACCAATACGAACAATCCGTTCCCAAACATTGTAAATAATCACGGAGTGTAAAAACCCAACTGGCCGGAGGCAGGCCGCAGTTGGCTAACAGCTAAGGACGGCTTGTTCCCAGGACCACCAGACTTCAAATGCGGTATCCAAACCACTCGGCCACCCTGCCTCCACAATAACTGATAGAAAATTTCCGGCATGACAGAAAAAAGCCTTTCTTCTCCCCCCCCCCACCCCCCACCCAAAAAAAAAAAGTTACTAGCAATGAATGGTTTTAAAATTGTTACTGAGTCACAGTAAGAAACGAGTGAGCTGGTAATCTTAAAATAATTAACTCTCTATTTTTTATTTTATATTCAAGAGGGAGTGATAACTTGTGAAGACCATCAAACACTTGACAAAGCTATTGGTGGCGGGTGGGATTAACTGAGACGTTGACTACCTGAAATTGAGGAGGATGACATCGAAGAAATTGAAAAGACACATCAGAATTTGCCTAAAAGGGGATTTTATATGCTGAAACTGTGGAAAAGAAGTAATGGAAAAGCTGCAGTCCATAGGACTTTGTATAATGCATTAGTCCATAAGGTTGTACAGCGGAAAGACTTAGGAGAAGAGTATTGTTTTGAATAATGGTATCTCATAGATATTGCTCATACCGAAACCTGGCAGTTAGTACAAAACGAGATGGCCACTAGGTTGACAGTAGAGATTCCAGTTGGTTATTTATTGTAAGAATGTAATGATTAATTCATCCTTGATTTACATCCTTTTATCGATAGCCTTTTTATAACACTGTACAACATGTGTTTAGCTAATTTCATACACGTATTTGATTGCATCTATTTAAGGAAAGACGCATAGATGGGGGAGAATGTTTTAGAATTATCGTATGTCAGCTCAAGAGAGAAGTTCTTTAAAATAAAGCTGGAGTATTTTAGATAAACTCTATAAGTATTCTAAGTTTTTTAATGTAGACAACTATATATACTGTCTTAAAAAATGAAAGAGCTGCTCGTTTGGAGCGATCACGTTAGTGATTATGGGAACGTTTATTTAATGATTGAGGAACGAAACAAATGCAGTCGTTCGTCGTTGGTAATCACAGCTTCAATTTGTCTTCGGTAGTATTATAGTTAACTAGTGTTTGCTTAGCAGCTCTCTTTTATGCAATGTAATGGAATGTTTAGCCTAGTTATGAAATACATAGAGTGCATTTACTTTGAACGTTCAAGATGTGGTGTTCCAAAACGTGTTTATGCACCCCACTTTCCCTGAAATAGACGAACGCAATATTGACCGTATCACGCCTGTTCGAGAAAAAACATTAACCTTGGACCTAAGCCTCTTCCGCGGCAGTGTACCCTCAGCTTTTTGAAAATTCTAACAGATAAAACCGGCACACCAGCAAATTTGATCACCTTCTGGTTTGTCATACTTCTTTTTCTTCAAGCTTCTTTTCTCAACTCCATGGATTTGAGCGCTCCTTGACTTAAGATTCTCGACCTTGGAGCTTATATTTGTTAAATTCATTTATAATAAAGTTCGCATATAACGCGCGCTGTCATTGGTTGAAAGAGCGTGCTCTATCAGAATACAAACATGAAGCTGAGCTGTCACGCCATCTGCCAAACTGAACTACGTCCGATCTTTTCCGAGACTTCTCTCTAGCCTTTTTTCGTTAATTGAAAGTGAAATTTCGAAACAAGCGCGCCGGAAAGTAGGAACAAAAGAACTAAACAAAGATTTGTAATAATAATAACCATAGCAATAATGATAATAATAATAATAATAATAATAATAATAATAATGATATTGATAATGATGATAAAGTTTTTTTGGGCGCATTAAGAAAACTCTATCCTCTATCACTACTATATAGAAAAAATGAATTAATTAAAAGCTACAAAATGTTGCTTATAAGAGTAAACATGCCAAGCGCCGTAATTTACGTTATTTCAACGTGAGCAGAGACGAAAATTCTTAAAGAGAAAATTAATTGGACTGTCCTAGTTTTGCCGGTTTCACGCTCAGTTGCTCAGTACTCAAGAAGTTGGGAGAAACACTGGACTGCGTCTCATGTTCCTCCTAGAGATTTATGGCGTTAAATCTTACAATGAGCTTGGAGATATTTCGAATCCGTCCAGCGGGAACTCATCGTATTTTTCCTTGTCACGCGCAATTGAAAGAAGTTCTTTTACCTCTGTCACATCCTGCTTTATGTTGCTGTACTGGATTTACAGATTTCTTTCGTTTGACCGAGGCCCTGAAGTGGGATTTATGCCGGCAAGCTGTCCCAAGTTTACGACTTGTAATTAGCATTTCTTAACAGAATACCTACATAATTTATGCAAGTTTTTCCGCGCCTCCCATGTCTCATGGGATGGCGTGCTTCCGGGTTATATTAACAGTTGCCGTACACATCCTGGCGATGTCATACAATTTTCACGAGGACCACGCGATCAAGTGAATTGATTTACACCTCCAGATAAGGTGAGAGGGATCGCTGAACAATCTCTCTAAGTTATGACATACTTTATGTGGCCTCCTATTCGGCTGGCTGTCGCTAAGTACTTCTTATTGAATACGAAACATCGATCGCCCGCAGTGAGATTCGTTTCAGCTCCTTTTTGAACGAAGTATCGGCTAGGCAAATAAGCGAAGGAGCATTCAGTGAACGAGAGGTTAAAATAAAAGAAAGTACTTGAGGATAAATCATCCTGCATCGTAAAGACTGACAGTAAAATTTCAACAGTATGTACTTTGATGACCTTGGTTGGAAACTTGAAGAGATGAGATCTTATATCTGGTATCTTCCATCACAGACCCTCGATTCCAATATAAGAGTTATTAGATGAGCAAGGAGGCTTGAACAAGCGCTTTACAAAATGTAGAACGAAATTAGATGGATCCAAACATTCCTGTGTTGCAAATGAAGCAATGCTTCAAGACATGCCTTTATATGTATATAGGCTAGCCAATCTTGCACCACATTTGGAAAGCTGATAAGAGGCACCCTACTTCTAATGACCATTGCTCTTGTTCTGAAAGGGAAAACCCCTAGGTGATATATCGATAAGTAATCAGTTTTATAATGGTTGGAATGGTGCCGGTATACGAAATTGTAGATCAGTAATATGTATTGTAAACTGCTTTGTGAAAATAGGTGAATATCATCGTGTCAAAAGGGTTGAAAAATCTGATTTTTCTGATTTTTAGGATAAATGTTTGTGCTTCAAAGTGAGTGAAATTTCTGCTGGGAACAAATAATAATAATTACAATATTATTTTCTTTTCAAGTAGCAGAACATTGACAAGGAAGCTACTCATAACTAGAAACAACACACTCTGCATCTTATTCCCCAGCATATACACATGACAAAAACATGTTTAGTTAAACCGGATTTCACTAGATGAAAATCAGAAACAGAGAACTGAAGAAATGAAAAAGGCACCACGACTTAAATTAATGTAAGAGTGAAATCCAAAAAGAAGACAGAAATCAGGGGCTGTTTTGTATCTGTGAAATTAGATCAATGCTAATTTCAGTACAATATGTATGTTTTAGTGCTCAGATGTGTTGATTTTTACGTGCTAAAAGGCACCAAGCCTTAAATATGTACATAGAAATTACACTAGATAACAGGCTTGCCACAAAAATATGCAACAGATATTAATCACGGTTACTTACAGGGCTTAACACTATACAGGTTTCACCTCCTTGGTTCCATTGTAATGATATGAGTTGAAGTACAGCTGCACCAACATGTTTTACTCATTTGGGGCTGAGATGAATGACAGTCACAGTGATACTTTGATTACAGTTGTCTTTGTGTAATTTGTGCTATTTGTTTATTGAAATCTAATAGGACCTGCTGAGGAAATGCAACAGGAGTCCCAAGGCAAAAGGCCTTCAGCTCGAAAGCGAGTGGCTGGTAATTACTCACTTGTCTATTTTTCAAACATGCTGCAATGTTATGAACAAACTGCATCTTTTCAATAATGAGCAGGTACAAAACATTTTATCGAAATCAATATACCAATATATTTTTGGGACATTTTTTGTATATTGAAGAAAACAATTCTTGGACAATACGATGTCATCGTTATGAAATTTTCCAAGTGAATGCTCTAATAGGGGTAATTCCATTTTCTGACTGACCCTGCTGAGGATCCAGAACCGTCTGCATCAAATATTATTCTTCTCACTTATTAGGGAACTGATGAAAAGGTGACTTACTTTTAAAATGAAGGAACTGTGTAACTTTGCATTCATTGGAAATCTGTGGATTTCATTTATTATTATTTGTCGACGAGATTGCTTTCACATCAGTTCCAGGGAAATGTTTATATCACTTTAGGCACTTTTGCTATAAGGTGATTAGCAATTACTACTTACCATTTTAAGAGACAAAATCCTTGATGATGATTATTATTTAAATTCTTCTGTGGGGACATTACTTCACTGCAATCATTTCTGCTTTTGACTGAGCTGGGCTTAAGGCTGCAACCGTTCTGGTTGCTATGGCAACTAGCCAATTTGGCCATGGATTATCTTGCATTTGCTGGTTGTGCATAGTATGTGTTAGCCGGCTGTAAAATTCTTTAAAAGAAAGATAAATAATTGTCACCCTCTCAAAAGCATAAAGAAGGTACTAGAGACTTTTTATTTGCCAGTTTTTGTCTCCTGGAAACAGAAAATTTTTAAGTTGATGCAATTTATTCAATTAATCATCAGAAGAGAATTACTCTCAAACAGTAAATAATAATGCTTGGAGGCCTTCTTTAAACTTGAACAGCTCTAATAATTTTTAAACATATTTATCTCAGAATCAATTGGGTAGTTATAGTAAGGTTGCATAAATCTGAAACAGGCATGTTTCTTTTAATTGTGAAAGTTTATGTAATGAACTATAAGATGTTAGTTATAATTATATATTAACAAATAAGTTTGGAAGTTACACAGTATTAAACAAAAATTAACATAATTATAACAAATTACTATTTTGATGGCTATCATGCTAATGGAGAATACAAATGACTAAGGCCACCACTTAACTGTGTTAGCAAAAATACATTTATTTACTACTGACCAGAAGAGCCTCCTGATTTTAGCTAATGGCAGTTACAGGATAAATTTATTTGATTAGTTCAAAATAAATCACTTATTGTCTGAGCTTGATATCCCAGGATCCATATTTTAGCCAGCAGAAGAGGTGTAAACTCTTTTGCAGAATTGAGGCAAGCATGAAGTCAAGGGCTGGAGTTGTCATTTGCACTCCTACCCAGTGCATGACTTGTGCTCTCTTACCACTTGTCTCCCTTTTCCTGAAGAATGCAACAAATTATTCCTGCTCTGCTGGCTAAAACTCTTGAAATTTAGTTCTTGAGATAAACTAATTAGCAGGAAGAAATGCAAGCACAAAAATGAAATATCACATTTTTATCCTAATCTTTTCATCTCTCTTACATACATACTAGCTTCTGGTTCCACTGAAGTTAAGCAAGAGGAGAAAAGTGGTTCAGCTGCCAAAAAACCTAAACTTGATCCTACTGGTGAACCTGGAACTTCTGGGGTATCCAACACTAGGAAGACAAGGAAGTTTAAGGGTAAGGACAAAAAGAAAATAACATTTGAAGTAGATTGACTTTCAAAAAACCTTATAATTACTACATGCACTGTATGTAACTATCCAATCGCATGATATTTTAAGGATCAATCATGTAAAATTTCTTTACAGACTTGAAGAACCTTCAATCTCTCTCCTAAAATAGTTTCTTTTGTGATGAATTGTTACTGACTCACAATAAGTTATAACCCCATTAGCTGTCTCAACAAAAATCATTACAGATCAGTTTGATTCAACATATCATACCTGATAATATGAGGAATTTGTGTGTATATCTATTTTTATAGTTATAAAATTAACTAGTCTCCAACAGGGCTCATCTCAGGACCAATATGAAAAATCTGGTTCCAAACATTGTAAATAACCTTACTTGCATTGGTTTGTCAATCGGAAGAAAAGCAGAAAGCCAATCAGGATTTAATTAGGCAAAATGTGATTTTCCTAGGCATTGACGCTAACCCTTAATCACTGATGAGATGATGAATTTTTTTAGAAAAAGGAAACTAGGATCAAGAAATTCATAAATCAGTTTAAATTAGCTGAACTAAGTCTTTCTATGATCATGATTTAAATTAACCTGTGGAGACTTTACTCCAGAGTAATATTTGTGGTTTTTATTATGCAGGGCTTTAAGTTGCAACTGTTTTGGTTGCCATGGCAATTGGCATATTTGGCCATCAGTTATCTTGTTTTTGCTGGTTGTGCATGGCATGACACTAGCCAGCTGTAACATTCTTCAAAAGAGAGATAAACAATTTTGCATAGTACAATCCGTATTGAAGTACCAGGTTTACAATTGCCACATAGTACTATTCTCTCAAAGACATAATAGTTATGGTTAGCACTAATTGGGGAAAACTAGGATCTAAAAGGAACACTAGGATCACTAAAAGGAAAACTAGGACTAAGACATTCATAAATCAGTTTAGATTGGCTGAATTAAGTTTTTCTGTTTCCCTTTTTTCCTTGAAAGTGTTATATATTGCAGTTATTGCATAGAAATAAAGACAACTAACCACAATAGAAAATTAATTAAATGAAGAGCTCTAATTAGGATATGTCTGCATGCAGTTTATTAGACTGCAATCAGCCACTTTATCATGAGTCTCAGGTGCATAGCTAGCATTAATGAAGGCAAGTTTGACTTAACTATGGATGCCTTTAGAAAGTGATATGAATATGTGCATGAATAAAACACCTGTTTAGAGACTCTGGGGAATTGCAGCTTCAAAGAAATCTTTAGCTCACTTAATTTTGTGCCTCAGGGGACTCCTGTTTGAGGGATCTGTGTTTCAGCCTTGGGTAGGTCATTTAGAGTGAAACTTTTAAACCCTGAGAGTGACCAGTATCTTACTTCTCCTTACAGCAATACGGCTGAATCATTTATGAAGATCATGAGAATAAAGGAAACGATCGCCACCAAAGAAGCTTTGATTGTTAAACAAATTCTCCTTTTCAGTACCAGAAGAAATGTATAGAGTAGAGTATGGAGAATTTGGATAGTGATGTTATGGTGTAGAGGGTTAATTGTTCTTTAGTGAGACTGACTTTACTCTCACCCAGTTTCTCTCTGCATCCAGGAGTATAAATGGGTAACAATGAACTGTCAGAAAACCTGATTAAAAATGTTGAGGGGAGGGGAGGGAAAGTGGTTAATTGTAATAGATGTGCATCTCTCCACAAGACTTAGTCACACATACTTGCTTCATGGAAGCCAGGGTAAACCGCTGCAGTATTGTAAAATTCATCACTGTAAAAGACATTTCGAACATAAGGCATGTGTTGATATTCTTAAACATGTTGTCCTGCTGTATTAACTATTGATAGAATGCACTTTTCATTTATTTTCAATTCATTTTTTCAGTGGTAGTGAAAAAAGGCAGTCCTAAACGTGATGAATTAGAACAACTGGCCAATGACATTGATCCTAGTGATTGGAAGAAAGTTGCAAGAAAGTTAAAGATTCATGATCCAAAGATCAAAGCCATACATAAGGAAAATGAGGAGTTTTATGAAAAAATATACCAAATGCTGCTAAAATGGAAGTAGGCAAATGGAAGTGCTGCTACATGGAAGAAACTAAATCAGGCTTTAATAGATGCTGGTCTCAGAGAGTTAGCAGAGAAGCACTGCTGTAAAAAAATTAATTGAAAGAGACCATCTGTCAGGAGCAGTTTTCCACCAAACACTGTGCATAAGATATTTCTTAGCTAAAAATTGTTACACCCAGGTAAAAATGTTGCTCCTACTTTTTAAACATATTAGTTAGCCAGGTGATAACCGATGGGATCGGTCCTTCCCTAACTGCACAACTTATTTTAATACAGATGTTTGTGACTTTTATAGTTATGAAACTTGGAAAAGATAGAAGTTGATGCTACCTGTGCGAGCCATCCTTTTTTCAAGTGTACACTTAACTATTTATGATTATTTCCAGCGCTAGATATCTTGTACAAATCTCCTACAGTTAAACTTCTTCAAAAGCTTTTTAGATAGTATTTAAGTCTTGAAATTATCTAAAAAAATTTTATTCAGTATTTTTATCCATTGATTTACTAATCTATGAGTCATTTATTTTTTTTTTTACACCGTACTTTCTAGCATTTAGGTTTGACTTTTTATTTTAATTAGCTTTTGTTTGATTAATTCACACGATGCTATTTCATTTTCATTGTCTTGTTGACGGTAGACGTAATCCAGTTAAGCAGATCTTCTCACTTATAATCTGGGCAAATAAGTCTGCATCGATCTTGGTAGGATATTATGGCGCGCACGTTTCACAAATTCGTATGACAACGGCCTTTAAATAACTTAAAGGAAAGCTTTTAAGGGAAGCTTGTGATAAAGACAGAAACTTGGTTTCAACGACAAGACGAACAGACAAGCTTGAGTCAACTAAAATAACTTTCACGCGTAAATCAACTTATGAACGTAAACATCGTACACGTCACGTGCCATTGCAGGTGCTATGCTAAAAGTATGCACCCCCCACCCAGGTAAGGCTCAGATGCCACCCCCCCCCCCTTGGAACGGATGACGGTCAAATTCCCGTGGGTTGCCTGGGGGATGTTCAAGCTTTGAATCGATCGGTGCACAAGATACTCAACTGAATATTTAGTAAATTAACTTGTAGGGACCTAAGAGCCATTTTTTCAACTTGTCGTGAGCCTGTTACCCAAGAAAGTTCAATTTTTGTTTCAAAATTTGCAAGTCGTATCATCAAAGTCACGCGGGCAGAAAAATGTTTCAAGTAGGTCCTGATCAACTGGTTACTCCTAAGGAGAGATATTACCTAGCAATAGTGTTTTTTTAAAAGTGGACGTTGCTTTTCACTTTAGAGATCTATGCTTTCAAATGTTTCTAGGAAGTTATTAAATAAATCTTAGATGGTCATCATTTTCGTAATTGTACATTGTACAAAACATCATCTTTTTATTATTACACAAAATATCACTTTAGCATACTTATTGTTTTTAGTTGTATTCCTAACTTTGTTCACTTCATATTAAAACACAGTGGTTTTACAGAACACATGTTTGAGCGTCCTTTTATGTGTCTGTGACCGTACAATGTAATCTCTCTGTCTTTCTCTTCAACCTGATTTAAATCTTTCGGTTTTTCGGTTTCGTGAAGGGAATATTTTGCGCAGTTACGTCCATGGGGAAGTGCGTGCAGCCTTGCTTAATGATTGTAAGTAGTGAGTCCATTTGGAATAGAAGGGGCGTCCCAAGGTGATTTCTCTCGGTGTGATTTCGAAACCTTTGAAATCAAAGCTGTAGATCCCTTGATAGCCCGCGTGGCTTGAGGGATTTTTCTTCTGATTGCTTTGTCTTTTGTTTTTTTGTTTTAAGGTTTGATGAAAGCCGCGAACTTCAGTTGGAGGTCTGGAGGAACTACGTATTTTTCGCACAGGCCCCTCGCGGTCTTCAGTTCAGGCTTCTCGATAAAAACGACATAGTCGGATTGAAAGAAGGAAGACCATTTTGCTCAAGAAATTATTGTAAATTATAGTGCCTTTTACAATTATCGCTTTTTTCATTCTAAGAAAGCTCTGTAAGTACACGGTTGCGCACGTGCAAACAGGGAAAGAGAAATGTGTTCGAATTCCGTCGAAGCCTGAATTTCTTTCAGGCTTTTTTCAGCAATTGCTTAAAAAGGAACGCATCAGCGAAGATCACTGCGTTACTTGACTTACACCTCCGAGTCAAATAAAATTTATTTCAGTTAGAATTGTGAAATATTTAAGCATATTTCTTATTTAAAAACAGAGACTATTTCAAAGATATGAAGAAAAAAAACAAAAAAACCAACACTTATCCCATAAAATGCTGGAAATAACCTCTCTGAGGACCTGAATATTAAAATTTTCTCGGGGGGTATGCCCTACTGTCTTCCGAGGATGGTCTGCCTTCGGCGAACATTTATCTGAACCCTCTCTGAATCTTGGACTACCCTCAAATATACAAACTGTGTGTAGTTTTCTCTGTTTAAATTTATGTAATTCGTGGAAATGATTATCAGGGCACTGTGATAACATTTTAATTCTCAGTTTCGATCAGGTACCACTTTGGAGAGGGTTCATTTGTATCTAAAGCATACGTTCCAAAAATTTTCTGCGTTTTTTTTTTTTTTTAATTTTTTTTCAACATAAATTATTGACGGCGCTGTGTCTCATGGGATCGATACACTAAGAATAATAGGCGTTGTTCTGCAGCCTAAGAGACGCCGACGATCAAGTAATTTTCGTGGAGCTGGATTTGCCAACTAATTCGCGAACTTTTCACTTCTGAGGTAAGTAGTTTACTAGCCTTGTAACGTATCCACGATAGTCAAGCCTTTTCATTGCCGCTTTCACTCTGTTGATTGTGCTAGTCGACAGAATAAAGAGGTGTGAATTAATCCAGTTACGCTTCGAAGAATTGTTCAAAAACAGTTAAGATAACAAAGAGCAGAAATTCCGGTTTGAGGCAGAAGAAAAGCCAAAACTAATTCAGTTCAACCAATTCAGTTGTAATCTGTTCCCCAATTCTCACTACGCGGCACTATCGCTAATTTATGCTCTGAATTTTACTTCTACCTTTGGAAATTGCATCCTTAGATCAAGTGTTTTCGTGGAGCGGGTTTGCTAGCCATAGACGTGAACTTTTTACTTCTGAGTGAGGTAAGTAGTTTACTAGTCTAGTAACGTATCCATGATAGTCATGTCTTTTAATTGCCGCCTTCATTCTGATGATTGCGCTAGTCGATGGACTAAAGAAGGGTGAATTAATCCAGTCACGCTTCGACGAATTGTTCAACAACAATTAAGATAACAAACAGGAACAATTTGGTTTGAAAAGTTTTATTGGCAAAAGAAAGGCTAAAGTAATTCAGTTCAACCTTTTAAGTTGAAATCTGTTGCCTAATTCTCATTACGCGGCACTATCGATACTTTACACTGTGAATTTTACGTCCACCTTAGGAATTCCATCCTTAGATATACTCCTGTGGGTAAAATGTAATTTACACACTAATAATAACTTAGGCCCCTGCTACTGCAGGGGAATCAAACAAGATTGCGAGTATCAAACTGAAGGAGATAAATTCTCGATATTTTCATTGCCCTTCACGTCAATTTAAGTGTGTCCCTACGTTTCGTGGGTAGGGAAGCATTCATATAGTCATGCTATTGTCTAGGTTCATTTCCGAATTAGTAGGGCTCCCGTCGAGTTTCATTGGGAAATGTAAGATTTCTATAGAAATCGGAGCCCCTTTGATCAACGCGTGACACATTTTCTTTTGTTTATCGTCCAAAAACGAACAATAGCTTCGAAACTTGAATGCATAAAATGTCTGCAGTCATTCTTTGGAATTCATGCTTCACACGCGCTAACAAAAGATGGCTGTGCATAAATTACAACGTCAATAAAACAAGACGTAAAATGCGAACTTTTGCTTACAATCATCAAATATGCTCGTTCAAGGTCTCTTTTTAAAGCTCTGAAAATGCTCTGTTTTAGTACATACAAATCAAACTTGAGAACATTGAGCGAAAAAACTTGAAGGCATAAAATGTTTTCAAGCATTCTTTAGAGTTAATTGACACGTCAAAACAGTTCTAGACGCAGCCGCTCGAGGTCGTTTACTTGCGCTATTGTTTCATTCCTTAGAGTCTTCCTCCAAAATGATCTCGCCTTTTCCAGAACGCTTTAATCCGAACTTAGGGCCTCTTCGTATGAGCCCGGTTGACCGGGCTGGCCTGGTTTCCGAGATCTCGGTTTACCTTTAAATCCTTTGTAAAATTTTCGATGTGGTCATAGGAGAGGGTGGTCTGGCTCGGTTACCGAGATCTTGGTTTTTCCAACCGGGATCTCGGTAAGCGGCTGGAAAATTCTTCATCCAGGTTACCGGAATGAATTCTTTGCAACGAATAATTTCGCTTCCGCAAAAAGGCGGCCCGAATGGCATCGTTTTGCCTTACCTGATGAAATTTCCACATCATTAGCAACCCGTCTAACTGCAGTGATACAGCTAAAAGGGTCGCAAAAGCCATGATAGGCGCAAAATTAATAACTCAGTTGCGTTTCGCTATCTTTGTTTTGTTTTTCTAATTTCGCGCCAAAACTCGGCCCCAGGATCTTCGGCCTTTTCTCATCTCGGAAACCGGGCTGAATTTTCTCATATGAAACCAAGGCGAAATTCGTCCCGGTAAGCGGGCCAGCCCGGTAAACCGGGCTCATATGAAGAGGCCCTCAGTCATTACGCTTTAGGCGGGTCTACGTGGCCCCCGAAGTGAATACCTAAAGGCCTTCTATGTACAAAATCAAGCGGTAACACCCATTTCTGAATGACACAGCTAAATCGCCGCCCTTGCAAGGTTACCACAACCCTTCGGCTCTAAAGTTTCTTTGGATAAATAGATAGATAGATAGATAGATAATCTTTATTTACCCACGGACAATTCATCAGCAATAAAAGCATTCAAATATATACACATGCATCTATTAGATGAGAAACTATAAAAACTATACCAAAAGCACAAACCTAACTAAAGCTGCTTTCCACGAATGCCGTGCCTGAGCGTGCTTCTTTAATTAAACGCTTAAATAACCCAAGGGACTCTACTTGTCTTATGTCATGAAGAAGTCTGTTCCAAAGAACTAAAAGGTATTCTTGTAACAGTTTGTGCGTGGCAAAGGAACATTAAGCTTATTCTCAGAGTCTCTTAGGTTATACGCTGTTTCTCGCCTTTTAGATTTAGAACATGAATAATCTGGAGCTAAACCGTGCAGAGACTTATAGACCATTATGGCTCTTTGTATTTGCGGCTGGGAAGCTTGGTTTTTCCATCTCAAGAGCTCAAACAAGTGACCAGCATCGGCGTTATAATTTGAATAAGTCAAAACACGGGCTGCTCTGTTTTATGGTTTCTGTACCTTGTTCTGAAAAGTTGTCCCGCAGTTTCCCCCAACAATATTACAATAGTCAAAATGTGACTGAATCAGAGCTTGATATATTAGAATCAATGTCGCTTGAGGGACAAGGTGCCTTATTCGTTTTATAGCCCCAATGCCAGAAGCAACTTTCTTTGTTAGTTTATCGATATGACTGCTCCAATCGAGTTTGTTATCGATGGTCAAGTGATTTTGCAGTGGTGACCTAGCTAACTTGATTGTCATAAATTGTGATCGTAGGAGAAACTGCTAGAGTACTTAATCTCAGCCATGAACCGATGAGCATAAACTCGGTTTGAGTCATATTAGAGTAAGTTTGTTCGCCCTCAACCAACTAAGAACATTCTCTTAGTCTTGATTTAAATACAACTGAAGATTGTCTACACAATCACCCGCATATGTGTTACGGCCGGCAAGACACTCGTCAACTGAGATCCACGTTTCCAAATCAACAACAACTCTTCTCTTAATCAACCCTTCATGTAAGTGTACACAGACAGTATTCTCCAAATACGGTCATGAAACCATACACGTAACATCTCCCTTTCTTAAAAAAAAAATAATAAAACAACTCTGACAAAACTTGACTAAAAAATCTGGCTAACTTAAGTTTACACAAAACTCGTTGACGCCGAGACTAAACCTAGTCCCTAACCGAACCTAACGCTTTTATCAACGTTGGCTTAGGACTTAAAGGTGTGGCAGGCCATGTCAGTGCCGTGAGTACTTCCTTGTGATTGACACTAGGTAAGGTTGTACCACCCTTTTTGCTTTGCTTGTGTTGAGTTGTAGGCTCTGCTACATGTCTCAAGAACTGCCTATTCCTTCTGAGGGTCTGATCGCCTGATTTGACCACGTAGGACCTGTCTGAGAGTTTCTCTAGGCAAGTAGCTTGCCTCCACGTTTGATTCTTCCGCAAGGGAGCAATTCGGAGTTCTTGTCCAATCTCCAGTTCAGGCAACTGTTTTGCACTACGGTCATGGTAAAACTTTACTTTTCGCCTCTTCCACTGTAACTGCTCTGTAGAGTCTGGAATTATTTCGGGACGAAGAAGACTTACTGCTGTAGGTAACAGAGTTCGTGTTCTTCTAGACATAAGCCTTTGAGCAGGGCCGGTTCCTAGACCTTCTGT